GCTTCCCTGGAGATAGAAGGTCAGTGACCCCAGGTTTCACTGGAGCCTCAGCTTATGAAAACTGTATCAGGCTTGCCAAGTCTCACAGTGTAAAGTAAACAGGGACACAGCATAACTCAAAGGAAAACAATGACAGAGGAATCATACTGGCTTAACATGAAATTTATGAAATTACAAACTTGGAGTTTTCAAAAAAATTATTTAAACTCCATTTAAATAAAATATTCCTAAAACATGGCAAATTTGGATTTGAAAATTTGGGTTATAAAAATTAAGTTCACATAGAAAACACATATACAAGAAATAAGCAGTTTCTGAAGAAAAGAAAAATAATAATTATCTCTCATTTTTGGGCTTTATTAGGAGATGCCACAGACAAATGGTATGAGTCAATTTAGGTTGGTGGTGTGACTAATGAATTCTGTGGTGCCCATGTTTCGGAAAGAGCAGAGCCAAAGCCACTCATTGTTGAACTCAGATAAACATTTCATGGCCACTTGACAGACTCTCCCCTTGACTAAACTTTATTCAGGTTCCTCTGAACCCTCTTCACAACTAGGCATTAATCATGGCCTATAAAAACTGTCAACTCTCAGCATAAATTTTGTCAATACTGTCCCCCTCACACCACACACACTAAGACTTGAACAAACATTTGCATAGTTTCTAATAGCTCAAGGCCACATCATTTGGATGACAACTCCAGTTCCCTTATAATGCCTGTCTGAGAAAACTCAATACTATCTGGAAAATTTACTGTTTATTCCAGCCAAAACCTGGTGATAGGTCAGTAAGCCATAGAACCTCATCTTTAGAGTAATTCTGTACTTTGAATATATTCCCCAAAGTTTATGTGTTAGAAACTTGATCCCCAGTGTTGTGGTATTGGGATGTAAGGCCTACTGCGAGGTGTTTGGCTCATGGAGACACTGCCCTAATGAATAGATTAATGACATTTTCACTGGAGAGGTTCATTATCATGGCAGTAGTTTCCTTATAAAAGGGGGAGTTTGGCCCCTTCCTATGCTGTTGTGCATTCACACTTGCTTTTTCTCTGCTTCCCTTTTGCCATGGGATGATGCAGCAAGAAGGTTCTTACCAGATGCCAACACCTTGGTCTTGGACTTCCCAGATTCCAGAACCATGAGGAAATAAAATTTTGTTCTTTGTAAGTTGCCCAGTCTGTGATATTCTGCTATTTCAGTAGAAAACATGTTAAGACAGAAAATTGGTAATAGGAGTGGAGTTATTGCTATAACAGGTATCTGAAAAGGTGTAAGTGGCTTTGGAATTTGGTTATGAGCAAAGGCTGGAAGAGTTTGGAAGAACAGACTAGAAAAAGCCTATATTGCCGTAAACAGAGTATTAAGGGCAATTCTGATGAGGGCACGGAAGATAATAGCTATAGGGAAAGTCTGAAAATTTTTAGAGATTTACTTAAATGGTCATGATCAAAATCTTGGTAGAAATATAGATGGTAGGCTGGGCCTGGTAACTAACGCCTGTATTCCCAGCACTTTGGAAGGCCAAGCGGGTGGATCACTTAAGGTCAGGAGTTTGAAACCAGTGTGGCCAACATGGTAAAACCCTATATATATAAAGATTATATATATATAATCTTTTTAGTAGAGACATATATGGCAAAGAATATATATATAATCTTTTTAATACACACGGCAAAGGCCAATCTGATAAGCTTTTTGAAATGAGGAATATCTTAGTGGAAGCTGGAATAAACACCATAATTGTTATGGACTTACAAAGAACTTCCAAGCCCTCACCAGAATTGCCCTTAATACTCTGTTCTTGATAATGCAGGCCTTTTCTAGTCTGCTTTTCCAGACTCTTCCAGCCTTTGCCCATTACCAAATTCCAAAGCCACTTACACCTTTTCAGGTATTTGTTATAGCAATAATCCCACTCCTAGAACCAATTTTCTGGTAAGGGCCTTCTTGCTGTGTCATAATGTAGCAAAAAGCATCACATGGGTGAGAGAGAGCAAGCAGGGGCCAAATTTGTCCTTTATTAAGGAACCTACTGCCAAGATAACAAACACACTCCCATGAAAATGACATTAATCCATTCATGTTGGTCCTCATGACCTAAACACCTCTAAAATGTCCCACCTCCCAATACCTTTGCATTAGGGATCAGGTTTCTAACATATGAACTTTGAGGGACACATTCAAACCATAGCATTCTGCCCCTGGCTCCCCAAATTCATTTCCTTCTCACATGCAAAATATATTTACTCCATCGCAATAGTCTCAAGCATCTACTCAAAAGTCCAATTCCAAAGTCTCATCTAAATCAGATATGGGCAAGAATCAAGCACAGTTCATCCTGAAGCAAATTCTCCTCCAGCTATGAGTCTGAAATCAAACTCACAGCTGGTGTTTGTACTTCCAAAATACAATGGCTGTATTTTGGCAAAGCCACGAGGGCAGGACTTCATTGATCTTGGATTTCCCAGCCTCCACTAACAAATTTCTGTTCTTTGTAAGGAAACAAATTTTTGTTCTTAGTACGTTACAGGGTCTGAGGTTTTTTGTCATAGCAGCACTAAGTAGACAAGTGGTTACTTCAGAAAGCTTGCAATTATGAACCTTCTCTCCTGCTTTGAGGTATGATTTTTTTTTTTTTTTGGGAGACAGAGTCTCAAAAAAGCCTGTCCCCCAGGCTGGAGTGCAATGGCGCAATCTCAGCTCACTGCAACCTCCACCTCCCAAGTTCAAGCAGTTCTCCTGCCTTAGCTTCAGGAGCAGCTGGGACTACAGGTGTGTACCACCACACCCATCTAATTTTTGTATTTTTAGTAGAGACAGCATTTCACCATGTTGGGCGGGCTGATCTTGAACCCCTGAACCCAGGTGATCCACCCACCTTGGCCTCCCAAAGTGCTGGGATTACAGGCATGAACCACCGCACCCAGCCTGAGGTATAAATTTTTTTTTATTACCCAGACCTGTCTTCTCAAGGACTTGGTAGTCTATCTTTGAAATGCTAATGTTCAAGGATGTACTCTTGCTCTTACTCCCAACCTGTGGGTGCCTTGCTCTGACTGGCATCCTGTCATAAGATATGGTAAGTTTGTTTCTCTTCTGGATAGCTGCTAGTTAACAAACCCAGATGGCCCAGTAGCATTAACCAGCTTCCCACTTTTTTTTTCCACTTCCCTTACTCTGTTTAAGCCCCTGCTGTTCACCCTGCCTATTCTGTCATTCTTTCTTTAAAACAGTCACCTCGGCCGGTCACAGTGGCTCACGCCTGTAATCCCAGCACTTTGGGATGCCGAGGTGGGCGGATCACAAGGTCAAGAAATCGAGACCATCCTGGCCAACATAGTGAAACCCCATCTCTACTAAAAATACAAAAATTAGCTGGGCATGGTGGCATGCGTCTGTAGCCCCAGCTATGTGGGAAGTTAAGGCAGGAGAATTGTTTGAACCCAGGAGGTGGAGATTGCAGTGAGCCGAGAACATGCCCTGCACTCCAGCCTGGCACCTGGCTGACAGAGCAAGACTCTGTCTAACAAAAAAAAAGTCACCTCTGCACAAATGGAAGTTGAGTTCAGTTCACGCTGGACCCTATTGCAATAGTTAATAAAATTTACCCTTGCTGTTTTAGTGTCCAGCTTTGTCTGTCTTTATTATATACTTTACAGTTTTGGACCAAATTTTGTCCCATCTATGCCTTTTCTCTGTATATAGATCTTTTATGTATCAATACATTTTTTATTAACAAAAGGACACTGACTTTTCTACAGATCTCAAAGCCTAAAAGGGAACGCCTAGCTTTCATTCCTGTATGCAGCTATAGCTTAGAATATGGAAGAGGGTAAAGACACAACAGTCTTGAATTGGGTAGTGATGGAAGAAAAATGACTTCAGGACTACTGACACAAACTGGAAAACTCACTAGGCTGATACTGATTCTAGACACGCATCTGCTGCCTGGTGGGAAGGTCTCTCTCCCTCAGGTTCCCTTACAGTGATAATGAAAAATTACAGCCCTAAAAAAGGTAATGAAAAATTACAGCCCTAAGAAAGGTATCAACCTGAAGGACTTCTCATAGGCTGAGCCTAATTTTATATGGACTTATAAAAACCCATAGAGAAGGCAGGAAGAGGGAAGTCTGTAATCAAAAATCTTTGTATTAAAAACTCTGAAACTCTTAACTCCTGTAAATATTAAAAAATAATTTTCCCTTTTCCCTTGGTTCTTAGCTGGGATGGACTCCTGTAACAAGACAGATTACTAAGAAAAAAACAAACAGTAGTTTAGTAATGAGTGTATTTCATAGACACATGGGAGGTATCCAGGGAATGAGTAATTCTCAAAGAGGTGGCTCTGAACCTCAGATGATAGAGCATCTTCTACAAAGAACAGTACATCTTTAGAGTTGTGACAATACAAAGGAAAAGGGCCTTGAGTCTCTAGGGGCAGCAAATTGTGGAAAGGCAAATAAGTTAGTTAAAGGTAGTTAAAAGCTACTAAAGTTTGTCATGTAGATTCCTCTGGTGCAATCTCTAAGCTGAAAAGGATCTAAAGTGTTTTTCCTGGTAGAGAGTCTTTGTCAATTTGTGTCCTGCTTTTAGGCAAATAGGGAGAGGCCAGAGAGCCTTTCTTGTATCTCTTTATTCTCAATTGCCTTCAGCTCAAAATAATCCTTATGCCAAAGTGGCATGTTTTTTGGTTACTTTTTTTCAACTTGTATATGAACTGCCTTTCAGATCCACACTTTTATTGTGACTCTCTGTTGAAAAGAACGTACACTTGAACTGCTTTTCAAATGTATATTACACCTTTGTTTACATGTTTGTAGGCCAGCTACCTTACCCTGTGGATCCTAAAATATTTGGAAAGATAATTGGGGAAAGACTTACACACCCTGCAGGCACAATGTGGTGACTGGCATGTTTCCCTTGTGTCTTTTCTCAGAAAAAACAAGTAATGAGCACACTGCTGAGATGGAACACATGAAATCCTTGGTTCATGGATTATTTACAGTCCTGCATTTAGAAGAGTCTCAGAAAAAGAGAGAGCACCATTTATTGGAGAAAATTGACCACCTGAAGGAACAGCTGCAGCCCCTTGAACAGGTTAGGAAGCATCATGGTTGAGTATGTTTAAAAATCATACCTAGTGGCCGGGCGCGGTGGCTCACGCCTGTAATCCCAGCACTTTGGGAGGCCGAGGCGGGTGGATCACGAGGTCAAGAGATCGAGACCATCCTGGTCAACATGGGGAAACCCCGTCTCTACTAAAACTACAAAAAATCAGCTGGGCATGGTGGCGCATGCCTGTAATCCCAGCTACTCAGGAGGCTGAGGCAGGAGAATTGCCTGAATCCAGGAGGCGGAGGTTGCGGTGAGCCGAGATCGCGCCATTGCACTCCAGCCTGGGCAACAAGAGCGAAACTCTGTCCCAAAAAAAAAAAAAAAAAAAATCATACCTAGTATGTTTTAAGTGCTCCTCATGTGAGCATTTTTCTGAATGCTTTCCATATGCTAATTTTCTCTTTATTCCTCACAAACATATAAGTTCAGTACTGTTAACTTCCTCATTTTTCAGATGAGGAAACTGAGCAACAAAGGTATATAGCTAATACATGGTAGAGCCTGGACTTGAGCTCACGTGGCCTGTGTTGAGAGCTGCCACCTTAAACACTATGCCTTGCTTCCTCTCCACAGATCAGTCATAATGTCCCTGTGAATAAGTGTAATAAAAGCAGGGAAGCACTAGCTGGAGTCCTACCTCCCTTTCCTTTTTAGAGAATAGGCCCAGCACCTGTGCTCTGCCTAACAGAATTGCAGCTGGAAAGCTGGTAATGGCTAGCCTCAAGTTAATCAATAGTGTGGAAAAAATAACTTTGATTTGAGGGGATAGCTGGGGAAATTTGTTTCAAGGGAAAGAACTGTATTCTTTAGACTTACCCATTTGTGATTTTTATTTAAATGGGAAGGTATATGTGTATCTTTGAATATGAATGGAAAGTTTCTGGAGATATAAGGAAGTTTTAATAGCAATTACCTCTAAGCATATTTGGAGGGTAGCAGAGAGAGGGACTTTTATTTTTTGTTTACCATTTTTTTTCTTTACTTGTAATATATTTACTTGGATTAAAATTTTAAAACCTGGCTGGGCGCAGTGGCTCACCCCTGTAATCCCAGCACTTTGGGAGGCTGAGGCCGGTGGATCACCTGTGATTGGGAGTTCAAGACCAGCCTGACCAACATGGAGAAACCCTGTCTCTACTAAAATTACAAAAATTAGCCAGGCATGGTGGCACATGCCTGGAATCCCAGCTACTCGGGAGGCTGAGGCAAGAGAATCGCTTGAACTCAGAAGGCAGAGGTTGCGGTGAGCTGAAATCACGCCATTGCACTCCAGCCTGGGCAACAAGAACAAAACACTGTCTTAAAAAATTTTTTTAATCTAAAATTTTCCTCCCACCTTATCCTCCCAGTTACTATATTCTCCACACCTATGAATCATTTCAGATTTTATCTATATACAAATATATTCTTATTTTGTTCTCTTTCTCAGAAAAGAAAGCACACTATTTTACACTATTCTCATCTTTTTTCCCAGTGTATTATAGAAATCTCCCCTTATTGGCACAGAGCTTTGTTACAGTTGTGTAATGTGTTGATGGGCATATGGATTATTTTGGACTTCTGCTATTAAGAATGAATCTGTAATGGGTTTTGTGTATGCAGTTGGGAGTTGCAGGATGAATTCCTAGAAGTGGAATTGCTAGGTCAAATAGACCTCTGATTTTAGTTGGAGTTCAGAAGATGACTTCTGAGTTTTTCATTGTATACTTTTCTATAAGTTTCATTTTTTCAAGGGCAGTTATTACCTTTATAATTTTTAAGATTAATGAGCTGACTTGGAAATGAGTAACTCATTCATGTATGTTTCTATTGTTTTTCCATATATCTGACCTCTTCAAAGTAAGAGTTCCTTTTCATCTTGCTTATTGTCCCCTTTAGTTGGTGTATTTGTAAACGGAATTAACAGTTTTTCATTCCCCCTCAGGTGAAAGCTAGAATCGAAGCTCATTCAGAAGCCAAAACCAGTGGACTCCTGTGGGCTGGATTGGCACTGCTGTCCATTCAGGGTGGGGCACTGGCCTGGCTCACGTGGTGGGTGTACTCCTGGGATATCATGGAACCAGTTACATACTTCATCACATTTGCAAATTCTATGGTCTTTTTTGCATACTTTGTAGTCACTCGACAGGTGAGTAGTTTGTTAGGAAAATGGTAAATTAGAACATCTTTGCAAATAATGTCTTATCTAAGCATTCAACAATAAAGCTTTTTTATTTACTGAATTACTGCCATCTGGGCTTCTATGAGCTGGTAAATTTTTTTAAGTGTTTTTCACGAGACTGGATGAAGACTCACAGAGAAGCTATATATAACTTCTACGGAGAAATAATTAGTATAACATAGAAATTCCTCCATTGGGATAAACATGTCAAATTTGTGTTCTCTGTGCTCTCATTTATAAATAAACCTGAATTTGCATTGCAAAACATTCAGTAACATTAACTTTGTCTCATGGTTATTTAATATGCCAAAAATCTCCCTTTTTTTCTTCCCCCTGCTTTCCCATTATGTTTCATTTCTCTTTCAAGTTTGCCTGCTTTTGAAAGGAGCAGCAGATCTTAAATGAGACTGAATGTTTTACTTGTGTTGGGTTATGCTTACCCTCATGACCACTGCAAATATTTTACTCATTCATCTGCCTTCTTTTGCTTTGGTGTAGCTGAGTCAAGTATCTTTCTTGCCAGAAGCGTTATGTTCATTCAAAACATGTTATTTTCTTTTGTTTTTTTAAGGATTATACTTACTCAGCTGTTAAGAGTAGGCAGTTTCTTCAGTTTTTCCACAAGAAATCGAAGCAACAGCATTTTGATGTGGAGCAATACAACAAGTTAAAAGATGAACTTGCTAAGGTATTGTACTACAAATACATCTTACGGCTGGTTTGTTTGGGAGCCAGAACTTAGTATCAGGGAGACACAATTGGTGGTTCATCCTCACAAGTTAAATCTTGGTCCTAGATTTCTATGTGCTACGGGATTGTTCATTGAAACAGTTGACACATTTCATATTAATCTCATATCCCAGTTTTACTCTTCCCTACATGAAGATAACTTTAAATGCGTGTGTTAAAATTTTTTAAATGAATTTCTAAGTAAATAAAAATTAGAATTTTAGGAAGGCAAACACTATGATAAGGAATTTAAGGCATATACGTTTCCTTTCCCTAAAGATAGAAGAATCATAGTATTCCTCCCTTTGTCTTTTCCCTTTTGAAAGTCGCTTAGGTATACACCGCTATAAAGTGAAGGAACCATGGTATGAACACAAGTTTGATTTCGGAGTCTATATTCTTTTTTTTTTCTTTTTTTTTTTTGAGACGGAGTTTCGCTCTTGTTACCCAGGCTGGAGTGCAATGGCGCGATCTCGGCTCACCGCAACCTCCGCCTCCCGGGTTCAGGCAATTCTCCTGCCCCAGCCTCCTGAGTCGCTGGGATTACAGGCACACGCCACCATGCCCAGCTAATTTTTTGTATTTTTAGTAGAGACGGGATTTCACCATGTTGACCAGGATGGTCTCGATCTCTTGACCTCGTGATCCACCCACCTTGGCCTCCCACAGTGCTGGGATTACAGGCTTGAGCCACCGCGCCCGGCCTCGGAGTCTATATTCTTAAGTACTTTTTCACAATCTGTTTGTCAGGCAGTTATCTCTGGTCTCCCAACTTACTCATTAACTTTGTTCAGATGGTGACTTCTCAGCACATCACTGGATTTTTCATTTTTATCAGTAATTTCATAACAAAAAAGTTCTGATAAAAATATCCTCCATTGCTCAATGCATGCTTGTTTAGTATGCATCCCTAAAATTTAAAAAAGAATTACTCAAATTTTGTAGTCTAAAAATCATAGAGCCTTTATTTTTATTTTTCCCCTTGAGATGGAGCTTTCTTGTTACCCAGACTAGAGTGTAGTGGCACAATCTCAGCTCAGCAACATCTGCCTCCTGGGTTGAAGCAATTCTTCTGACTTGGCCTCCCGAGTAGATGTGATTACAAGTGCCCGCCACCACGCCTGGCTACTGTTTTGTATTTTTAGTAGAGATGGAGTTTCATTGTGTTGGTCAGGCTGGTCTCAAACTCCTGACCTCAAGTGTTGCACCTGTCTCGGGCTCCCAAAGTGTTAGGACTACAAGCGTGAGCCACCATGTCCAGCCAAGCCTTTTTAAAAATATTTTTTATTTCATATAATCTTTCTGTAGGAAAAATACAATGCTTTAAAAATCTTTTTTTGTGGATTCCCTTATATTTGAATAATCCCATCTGAGAAGGCTAAGGAATATTCTTTCAGCTCATTTATATAGGACAGTGTATTTGAGATTTAGAAGGTAAGCCTGGCATGATCCCAATGATTTGGGAGGCCAAGGTGGAGGATCTCTCGAGTCCACAAGTTGGAGAGAAGGCTTCATCTCTACAAATGTTTTTAAAAAATTATCTGGGTGTGGTGCTTGTAGCCCCAATTTACAGCTACATGCTTGTAGCCCCAGCTACTTAGGAAGCTGAAGCAGGAGGATCCCTTGAGCCCAAGAGTTCAATGCTGCAGTGAACTATGATCACACCACATGGCACTCCAGCCTGTGACGGAGTGACATGAGATCCCCATCTCTAAAAAAAAAAAGTTTTAGGCCGGGCGCAGTGGCTCAAGCCTGTAATCCCAGCACTTTGGGAGGCCGAGGCGGGTGGATCACGAGGTCAAGAGATCGAGACCATCCTGGTCAACATGGTGAAACCCCGTCTCTACTAAAAATATAAAAAATTAGCTGGGCATGGTGGCGCGTGCCTGCAATCCCAGCTACTCAGGAGGCTGAGGCAGGAGAATTGCCTGAACCCAGGAGGCGGAGGTTGCGGTGAGCCGCGATTGCGCCATTGCACTCCAGCCTGGGTAACATGAGTGAAACTCCGTCTCAAAAAAAAAAAAAAAAAAAAAAAAAAAAAA